TTAATGTTTACCCTGTGTATCTTTAAAAACTTAATTTAACTGTTAGCTACTTTGACCCAAGTTTATTATCATTATTTTTCTAGACTTAGATTTAACCATTTTTATGCTAACTTTTGGTCAAGAATTTTGTTTTGATCCATTTGAGTTGGCTTAACTCCTAACTTGAATTCGTACTTTCTCTTCGCTAATTGAATTTCATGTTAGACCTTTATTGATGAAACTGTTAGCTGTCTTAACTCTGCTTGTCTTATTTTCAGTTGCAACAATCATAAAATGTACATGTAAGAATTTATACTTGTGCTTCAACAAACTGAAGATGTTTTACAGTGTTTGGGATTTCATTTTATTCTGGTTTAATTGATTTGTTTGTCATTTTAATAACATTCCTTGTATTAAAAAAACCTGCCTAATTTGAGGGGAGGGAGTTGTTCTAATGGTTGTTTGCTGAATTATTTCTAACTAATGTCTCATTAAGTTCTCATTGATAGAAGCATCTAGGAGGCCAGGTGATTTACAATGGTCACATGTCTGGACTTTATTTCTTTTTATTTCAGGAAGATTGACCTGTGGATCCTCTTACCTGGACCTCTTGACTAGATCCTTATCACCCTGACAGACAGTGTTTGATCTGGGCCAGGTATCCTGTTTGGATTCCTCCTCATCAGTTTCCTTGCATCTGTGTGTGTGTGAATCCACTGACTGGTTTCTTCAGGCAAAGTCCATCACAAGTGTCCCACCCTCCTCTTTCACTCTCTGTCTCTGTCCTCGCTCCTTCTCCTTCCCTCCCTCCCTATCTCCCTCCTCCCCTCCCGTCCCACGGCTGCTCGCCCAACAGCCCATCAGAATGACAATGGTATTGATGTAAAATGTGTTGCCTTTGGGCCGCTAAAGCATATAACCCCTGCATGCCTGGCCTGGCCGCCGCCACCACCACCACCACCACCACCACCACGGTTTATGGCTTTATTGTGTCCCCTTTTATGTGCTCCCCTGTTGGGGTGGGCGGACAACAATTTAGAAAATTCACTGTATATGCGCTGCCCACTGAAATGAGGTGCAAAGTAAGCAGATTTATTCAGATCAGTTAGTCAGGACGCAGCGTCATCTCGTACGTCGGAGCCACAGCGTGGCCCCAGAGAAGACGTCGGCCTCCGTCCCCCCACCTCCAGCCGTTCACGGCGACTTCATGTTTCCAATAATCAAGAAAGAAACAAGTTGAGTAACAAGTCGACTTTACCTTTCTGGTGTGCGTCCCTCCCTATACCTCCCTCTCCCATTTCCCTCCCTCCCACTTTTCACTCTTCCCTTTCTTTTCCACATTACCAGGGGGTGGCGTGTGATTGACAGATGGGAACGAATAATATTTTTTTTTTCGTAACCTAAGGCCATCTCCTGTGATTGGCCTGCCAGCTGACATCTCCAAACCCTCATCCCCCTCTTTCCTCCTCACCCGCACACACCCTCCCCTCACCTCATGCCCCCCTCCCACCCCTACTCACCCTTTAATATTGGGGCCTGTGGATGAGGCATCCTGAGGGTGAAAAAAGTAAGAGAGAGGGAGAGAGAAAAAGATATCTACCTTAGGGAAGAACCTCAGAGAGAGGGAGGGAAGGAGAGGACGGGTAGGAGCGTGTGTGCATGTGTGTGAGAGACACTTATTCTCTTAACTACTAGGAGACAGACACACTTTCCTGGCCCGACTCAAAGAAGGGGGGAAAACAGCAGGAAGAATTTTTTTTTCACTCAATATAATTTCAATTTTCCCCTCATTCAACAATCAAGCTTCCCCCCCAAGCTCCTCTTCCTGGAAACTCTTCTTCATCACTGGCTACTGGAAGTTCTATGTATTGATCCCCTCACACACTGCAAGGCTTACCTCATGGATTTGTATCTGATTGGATATTTGATGTGTGTGTGGTTGTCCAGCTCACGGGTGCTTGGAGGCTATCCCATTTGGTGGTGAGTACAAATCCACAGTTTCAGCATCACAGCCTATAGCCACATAAAGAGAGAGAGAGAGAGAGAGTAAGAGAGAGAGTGAGTGAGAGAGAGAGAGAGAGAGAGTCATTTTGGTCAAATGATCATTTCTGAAAGGGCAGAATGTGCACTTCTGAGTTGACTGCGTGGAAAAATGTTCTCCGGCCCGGTCCAAAAATCTTAACCTCAAAACCTAATGTAACGGAAAAGGCTTGCCGTTCTTTCCCCCTCCACACTCATGTCCATTTATTACACTGGTGCATGTTGTGATGCAGATGTGGTGGATTTTGAGCTTTTAGGTGATAATAATTCAATTAGCCATAAGTGCAAATCAGCAAACATTGTATTCAATTACTTTGAATACTTTAAAGTACATGAGGGAATCAATATCAGATCAGCTGGTTGCATCATCCGAGCAAGATGTCAGTGCTGACGTATAAACACAATCATTATAACCTAAAAGGACATGTTTTCTTTTTTAAACCATAGTCATTTTTAAAAAATGTAAAAAAAATAAAATAAAAAATTGAGGCAAGACAATAAAAATCTGACTGTTTTTCTTTTCTAATTTGAGACTGTGTCCTACATTTAAGCTGCCGGCCGCAAAACATGATGAACATGTGAACTGAAACCTAAGAGTTTTTTTTCTTTTTTTTTTTTGTAGTTGTACAACATGCATTCAACCCAAATATTTTGCTTCCCACAAAGGTGAACACCATTTTATAAATATCTGTACTTGCCATGGGCCATGAGTTGTAATTTGAATCGATGCATATAAAAAAATTGAAGCATATCATTTTGCTTTTTCACTTGTACCACAATTCACCCCCCTCTCCACTGCACATTGTCAGGAGACAATATGTGTAGGTGCCGCGGGGTTTTTTATTCTTTGTTGAATTATCCCAGATCGCTTTTGGCAGCAAGAACTGAAAATGTAGAGGTTTGTCTCATTAGAAATTCAGTTACATGCAGCAGCTGACCTCATAGCTCCTGGTCGCCTTTTGTAACATAAGGCTTCAAATTTGGTGATATTTGCGAGGGCGTATGACAAAGCTCTTTTGGCTGGGGAGACAATACTTGTCAGTGCTACTGCACTTTTTCAGGAGTCCAACCAGCATATGGTCTCAGCGCGCTGCCGTCCAAACCGCTCGCATCTTCTGGTTTCATTTACAGAGCAGGCAGCTGCCAAGCACACAGGCCACAGGGCTGGAGTGTTAATGGCAGAGAGGACTTTACACCCACTCCTGGCTGCAGCAGCGACCATCAGACACCAGTGACAAAGAGCCTGGAGTCTATCTGTGTCTCTCTGTGAGAATTACCTGCAGCTGCATTGTTTAAAGAGCTTACATGACACTGGTATAATGTTCAAACCTTAACAATGTGCACCAGCTTTGATTTGGGTAACAAATTTTGAAATGTAGGCTGGAGTAGGGGGGCTTTTTTACTGGAAGGGCAGAGAGATGAAAAGCCAGAACTGTGGCTCCGGGTGACTGGGCAGGTGCTGAGGAATGGGTGTCAAACAGTGCCGTCAGTGGCATCAGCCCGCGGTGCTGAACATGTCCAAAAACGGGAGACAAAATGAGGTGGTGCGTCAAAAACAAGAGGGTGCCGAGTTTCAGCAGACTCCCTCTCAGCTTCTGTCTCAGGGGCGATGACTTGGCCGTAAATTCTCGAGCCGCGGTGGGACAGGTTGGAGGGAAGAGGATTTCTGACTGCTTTATGCCTGGCAGCCTTGCTTTTACAAGACGGGGTGTTGAAAACAAAACAGAGCATAAATAACTGTGCTGATATGCACTTATGCACGTATGAAGATGAGCTGCAGTAGGAGGGGGAGAGGGAGGTGAGGAAACAAACAAGGTGGGTTTGGAAGGTGAGAGGCGGCTGTAAATTGCCTTTTTTGAAATGCAAGAATGTTGGGGAAACTGTCGTCCTGGACAAAATGCGCAAAATGAAGGTGAATTTACGACGGCCTGGAGCTACGGTGGGGCTCCGCATAATCCACAGGTCGCTGCATCCTCACTTCTCCCTGTGTTTTGGTTTGACATTTTTACCCCTAAAATGTAGATATTTTGAAATGGATGAGCTTAGCGCTGACGTCTACGACACACTCGAGCTGTTGATAAGTTTTGAATTAAGCGGCAGCAGCTTAACTCATCACACTTCCCCAGGAGTTTAAAGCACTCTGTCAGGCAGCAGTGTGTTTGTGCTCTTGCATAAACACACTGCTGGCAGTAAGTGAATGATGACAGTCACTTTGAGCGAGGAAATGCCTCAGCTGAACGCCGGCCAATACCAGCCATCCAGCATCGGCGCCGATTATCAGTCCACCTCTGTCAAATCGCAGCCGTGCGATTTGTTAAATCCAGTAACTGTTATTCTCCTAACCCGCTGTTATCAACACAGCGATTAAAGCTGCCTGAGAAAACAGCATCTCTGCACACAGTGTCACACTCTTCGCTCTCTCAAGATGTTGTGTTTGGAGATTCAAAGAGACAAATGGGAGTGAGCTTGACCCTAAACTCTGAACACACCTAAATTCGTCCGGCGTAGCTTTATGAGAAAGGACACAATCACAGCAGGTGAGACGGCAGACGCAGAACAAACCTCTGGAAAACCTGAAAAGATTTGTTTCAACCTAAACAAAGGTCAAACTTCTCTTTTTAACCTTCTGATTAAACCACCTCAAATTCTATTCACCCTATCCCGAAGAACTGAAGGGATTTAGCAAGACAAAAAATATTACATAAAAGATAATTTATATAATTAGATCCAATACTTGAAATGAAATGAATAAAACAGATAATGTATTGTTTTTTTGTTTGAGCATTTAAGAGGCTCAATATATTTCTCTGGCTAAATAACACTAATGGAACACTGTTCAAATCTCTGACACTTCACATGAAGAATCTTTACCAAAACGCATACAACTTTTCTAGTTCAACCTGAGCGGCTTAGAAGTCGGAGGGGCAGGAGTGGCGGGGGCTCTAAGGTCCATCTCTGGGTCTCAGGAATGTCATTATCCAACTGTGACACCCACCTCCACTAACACCCCCCTCCTAGTCCCAATCCTCAATCCAATCTTCAACCCTAAAACCCCTGACTATTGGGGCAGGGATCACCTAAATGATTCCTACTGCGAGAAAATCCTCCATCTGTGGCGCTCTGTAAGGAGATCAAGGATGTGCTGCTTTTGTTCCCAACAGGGCTGCAGTGGAAGAGTTAGAGAGGAGAGCAGGAAAAGTCTAGAAGAATGTCATTCACAAAAAAAAAAAAAAAAAAGACCTAAACATTTCATTATGAGCAGCTAAAAGCCGCTGCACGGAGACCAGGCTTTGGCCATTTTAGGCTAATCCCAATATGGAAGGAGACATGTTTACTTATGGCTCCTTCACACCAGATCACTTCTGGTTCCTGAACCAAAATGAGAACAACAAGGTGCATTCACACCTGAGAAGATGTCATTGTGGCTCTGGTAATTCTCAAGTGTCGTCTAACTATTTTGTTATCACGTCGAGCTGCAGACAAGCAGAACGATGCACAACGCACAGCTGTGAATGCACTGGAGAGGAGCTAGTGGTGAAGAGAGAGAAAGTTGAGCAACAACATGTTGGTATCTCACTGCAGGCCTTATTTGACTGGGTCACTATGAGCACAGCAGTTTTAACAAGAACCACACAGTAAGCATAGAAATACAGTGATGTTGGACACAAATGTCAAATTCCAGAAAAAGATGGTTTTCTGGCTGCTCTCTTGTTAAGGGTAAACAACAGTGATCAACAAATGTGTTGACGACAAATTGATTCTTTAAAATGATGTACATTTAGTACAATCTCAGATGCACTCCTTTCGCCAAAGATTCAAAATATGATGGAAATCTCAGAGAGGTGAATCCTGCTGCCAACAAATCAAGTATAAACAACACTAATACCACTGAGATGTTGCCGTGCGTACAACGTAACTCAACTTTTATGGGCTCCACCAGCCCCTAAAAATGCATTATACACATATAAAAAGAAGTGAAAAACCAACAATAAATTCAGAAAAAAGATGAATTATTAGAAAACTGGTTGTGAACTTGGCCTTACAAACTGACAAGTTCTAATCAGGAGGTTTGATCTTATTGGCTCTTCAAAGCATAACTCCGAAATACTACTGAGAACAGAACAAATGGAACCTGAGGCAACCCCGCCTACATCCCAAGGCTCAGGTTTAGCAGTCAAGCCTGTTGCTGCTCCTCAAATTCAAATTTGAGGAGCAGCCTGGGGTTTAGTGTCTTTCCCAAGAACACATCGGCACAGATCTAAAACTGCTCAAAACAATGCACCGTGAGGACTGAAACCTGTCTATCTTGTGACTCAAATGTCCTTTCTTTTGTATTTAAACACTGTGTCATAACAACCAAAGGAGACTGGACTCACTACGTTAGCTTACAGAAAGTATATTGGTCACAGATCAAGGGCAGACAATGACAGTATCCAGTCAAACACCAGCTAGGTAAGAGGTTCAAAGGAGAGTGGTATTTCAAAGCAGCGAAGGCGAGTCCTAATCTTCAGCCACCATCAAAGCACATGCAGAGTGCTCACGTAGGAAATGACCCAGTCCTGCAGTGCACAGCTATTAGGCCCTAAAACACAGGCCAGGACGGTTCCTCAGAGGTAAAACTGCCACGGCCGGGGGCAAAAAGATCATTAAGGGACACGGGTGGAGGTAGACTCACACACACACACACACACACACACACACACACACACTGTTAAGGTCTTCATTACCTGGCTGATCTCACCTGCATGGCTTGTTACAGAGGCTCATTATGAGCAGAGAACAGTTTCTCTGACACACAGGGTCAGTGGCAGAGATGTGCTGCTCACACCTGCAGAGCCCCCAGGTCACTGACCAGGTCATCACAAAGAAAAAGAGGGAAAAACAAGGGCAAGTCATTTTTATGGTTCATTTCCCACACAGTGGGGTTTTTTGTTTACATGCCATCAGTGTTTGTTTGTGTTAAAAACATATAT